GCACCTATGGGCTTACAGCTTATATTCTGATATTTTCGAGCAGGAAATGTTAACCTTGAAATGCTACTATCTGCGTCTAACAATGTGCGATCATAACCCCATAAATGAGGGGAGAAATTGAATCCTTTTAAGTTATTAAGCAGGAAAGGATTATAAACTCGTCTTTATAAATGAGCTAGAAATCCCCATGTCTTCCTCTGTACACTTTTAAATTTCCCACTAGAAGCTGGGGAGGAAAGATTGCTCCTTTTCAAGAGCCCCACAAGAGATGGAAAAACCATTTTTGCGCCCAGATAGGGAGTCGTCCCACATGGTAAGCGCCACTTTAATTAATAGACAGCCTTGAGAGGTATCACTGTCAGCCTGGATAATGGCGGCAGAGCCACTGTTTGTGCTTCCATGAATATTTCTGATGTGATCAAAGTCAAATGCCAGCGCAGACTGAATTTAAGCCTGCTCCATTTTTTTTTAACTCAGCCTAATGCTGTCGACACTTAAAGCCCCCGACTCTGACACGTCTCTGTGGTGTGGTGGGCCTACGAGCTTAAAGTGCACACCTTCACATTCATGCATTACTCATTATACTCATAGAAGCAGCAGGGTTTCATGTTATTATGCTGCAGGGTTTGCTCAAGTTACCTTGGAGCCAGCGCGATCATTTCTAACACAGGTTGTAGCCCACCAAATATCGCGATATGTCACAAACAGACAATCACATCATTATTTTTGAATTTATTCTAAATAACTTATTTCAATGCAGCTCATTGTAGTAGTAGCCTCCACGAAATAAATGAAATTCTATATGGAATGTATTCTCCTTCCAAAAAGCATTTTTAGCTTATTACTTGAACAAATTTTGAAATTCGTGGCAACATTTTAGGCATAATGATAGACTGAGATACAATGCAGGCTCAATGCAATGTGAGCTACATGCATGAAGTCGATGTATTGATTATCTATTATTTTATATAATATAATTATTTTATTAAAATATTCTGTTGAGCTCTTGCAAGTATTTCTTTTTATATTGATCTTAATCATCATTTTATATTTGTCATCGTAAGTCTTCTTATTGTTTAACCAAAAAAAAAGTGGCTCTCAATTAAATGCTAAGGGTGTCAACAAAAACTACAGTTTTGGTGCATTACTTAACTGAAATTGAAATTTGTCACAGCATTTTAGGCGCAGACAGGCTGCTCACTGTGAAACCGTTTAATCAAGTTAGTGGTTACTAAGCAACGGAGTCGGTTACTAAGTTACCTGCCATTGAAGTTATAGGTACATGGTTTTAATGTGAGGTATGTCAGATTGTAAACTGCAATCTGACAGAACTGTCTAATTTGACTCAATGAGTATCGTGTTTTCCTAAGTGTAAAACATTTTCATAGATTGGTTAATTAAATTGCCAGTGTTTACTATGAATAGCTGGGAAAATGTTGAATATTAGAAAGAATGGCAGCTTACATAGAGACACACATTAAAGTGGCCAACTATTTAATTACCCTAAAATTTTAATTTAATATTTTACCACATTTATTATTTTTTCCTAAAAATGAAACCATAAATTTGGGATATTGAAATTTGTATTTTATTTTATTTTAATCGATCACATTCTGTCTTTCAGCTCCTGTCCCCTTTTTGAAAAAAAAATAAAAATGAAGGCCCACCGATGTAAATTCCAGTGAAATGTGGCTTGAGTGGCTGCGGGGACAGGGGAGGTTAATCCGAGTTTAATGCAGTGAAGCACAGCGCAGGGTCTGGGCTATGATGGGTATGTTATCTCTGCCCAACATTTGGGTCTCCCTCAATTTCCACCCAGCCAAATAGCTGCGAGAAAGTGCAGATGGAGTCACTCTCAATGCCTGAGGAAAAAACGTTATTAATAGCTAAATAACTTCCCCATACTTTCACTGAATCTCTCTCACACACTGTTCCAGATGGATTTGTTTGAAGTGGTCTCTCGCTTCATTCCCCTGTCCTTCTCATTCAGCACGGCTTTAGACCCGAAATATAGCTACATTATATTACCATACACTTAGAGACCGGCTGTGTGCGCGCGGAAGTGTGTATTATAGTTAGTGTGTCCGTGCGCGAGTGCCCTCATGTGTGTCTGTGACGTTGAGTGTGAGGGGCCGCTTTTCACACTCTTCATCACTGTAGGCTGAGTGTTAATACCAGCTAGAAATTATAATTATTATCAATGTTATAATTATTATTGCTGTAAAACATGGCTGTACCCGGTAATTGAGAATAAACCTAAAATAATCTGTGCGTAATTGCCTGACGCATGAGGTAAATTTCCAAACCTTTGCAGGTAGCTTACTTTACATGAAAAGCTGAGACAGGAAAGTGAAAACATGATTATTTTCTCTAAATATGTTTAAAACTAAGTGAGTGCCATATATTAAGTCTTAAATTATATTTGAATTAACAGAAGCCTCCTCCCCCTTGACTCCTAACCTGGCTCTCTGGGTTGTCTGACTCCCTCACGCGTCTCCACCGGGCTGTCACTTTCCATCCCTGACGCTCGGGAGTAATCCCACGTGGCATCTGTTTAATTAGGCTGAAGAACTCAGGTAAGCCTGCAATTCGCTCAAGTGTCGATCGCCTGTCTCAACCTCATTTGACGGCCAGGTTGGGTGCGTTAGTGTAGAGGCGGTTGGACGCGGGACAGCTGATTCAAATTCTACTTCTCTCCCTGAGTGCGCATGGAGCAAAACAAAGGGATGCCCAAGTTTGCGCAGCAACCTTTCCCCCATTCCTTGCGCGTAATTAAACTTTGGCACAGACTTAAACAGCCGCGCAAATGTGCGCACCATGGATGAGGAACTTGTCCCTGCACAAACAGAATGGTGGGTGGAGCAGGATCTCCGCTTGGTGATCACCACACGGTAAAAAGAAAAGAAAAAGGGCCCATTGGGTGGAACTATTTTCGTAGAAATAACACTTATATCCATGCAGCAAAAATAGAATTTACAAATATTGTAATGTGGTGAACAGTTTAAATACACGTTTTAATAAAGTTAGATTAGAGCTGGGATAAATCCGTGATATAACCCCTGAGAAAATCAAATACACAGACCTAATAAACAAATAGATAAATAAATAAAGTCTTAAAATCTGGATAAGTAAACGAAAAAAAAATCTCATGAATTTTGTGCCCAGGGCGAGCCACTGTGAGCTCCGCTCTGAGATGAAAGTGAAAAGAAATAAAAGGCTCTATTTAATCTGCTTTAAAACCCCTCTCCACATAAGGGCTGTGCTTCAAACTCGGAGAGTGAGGGGCTGATTGGGGATAAATACATTTCTTACCATGCCTGCGAGCTATTACACCCGGCACGAACACAGCCACCTATTCAGCAACCATCGTCTCCACTGCTTACTCTAATAAGTATTAACATTATTAAATGCCATCCGGATGCTAGTAGTCTAAACTGCATTACGCATGAGGGTGCGTCTTTTTATAGCAGCGTAATTCCGCCCCAATTTAAAACATAAGCAGCGCTACGAGAGAGAAAAAAAACACAGGAGCTGGAACATTATGAGGATATTTTGTGTTTTAACACTTCATAAGTCAAACTATCACATTATCCAGAAAACGCGTACTGGGCGCGGCTGAACAGACTCTCCAGAAAAAAACCGCTGGTGATTTGTAACCAGCAGGATCCGAAATGAACACTGGAGACATTTCCAACAAAACGGTGACATTTTTTTCTCATAACATTAATGCGTGGTGTGACAGAAGAAAAAAGGAGAGACCGTTTTCACGCTATCAACTGATTCTTCTCCAACGCCATTATATAAAATTACAAAACTATCTAGCAGCGGGGCGCACTGAATAATTCATCTCCTTTTATGTCTCTCTGCGCCCTTTGTCCAAACTTTTCTCTCTCTTTTAGCCGGGTTTTTTGAATGTGAATGGACGGGCCCATACTCTACTCTCTTTTTTTTCTCCGCTGCCATCTTTCCAGGATTTGCTTTTGTACCTCAGACTCTTCACTTTCAGAAAGGCGTCAATAGAGGGGAGGTTTTGCTTGTGAAGTCCAAATTCAAGTTTGAAATTTTTTTGGAAGTGTCTTTTTTCTTATTTTGAGGTTTGGAAAAAGAGGGCGTTTCTTTCTTATCTAAACTCCATTCACACATCTTTGATCATCAGACAGCTTCATAGCACTGAGCCAGTTTCACTCCTCATAACCAAAGGCACCTCTAAACCAAAGGCCCAAATAATACATGAGAATAAAATCAAGAATTGTTGGCAGTGAACTAAAACGAACAATTCTACTTGTGTTAAAAAAATAATTTAGAAGAAGAAAATCATCACATTTGATAATTGAGAGTCTAATTATGTCCCCGGGTGCAACGTTATAGTTGCATTTAAATACATGCCATATAAAAAATATGAAACCCACATTGCATACCAATACATTTTAAGGTTATTAAAACCCCATAAATTCTATTGACAAATAGTGACAGTGAATACCTGCATCAAAGCTTTATTCCCCCTCCTCGCAGAGCATTACTAATAGAGCAAATAATAATGTGGACATTGATTTCCTCTTTAACTGACAAGTGGTGAAATGTCAGTGAACTGACATCGATTGTGAAATGGGTCAAACTGTCAGCTGTCGTTTAGGGGCTCGTTAAATGAGTGAATGGATGAGGAAGGCATTCGCCACACAAATTAATTTTCTGCAGTTTAAATACCTTCTGCCAAGGCTCTCATAAATAATTGAGCAAATGAACAACTGCTGGCTCGGAGTTAAAAGCAGGAATAAATTCTCCGTTTAGCTGCAGCTCGGATGTGGGACAATTTTCCCAAGAGGACGTTGAAGGGAGGAAGGAAAACATTTGCTTCCTGCTTACAAGGCTGCAATTTACTTTAAATGATGATAATAATAATGATAACAATACAATAATAATAATATCTGTATAGTGTAGATGATAATTTGTTATTCCAGACATGTACAAAAAGGGCCATATACTATCTGCTGTTAACTTACATTTATCACCGAGGATGCCATCGATGCTATGCTTTGTTTTCTTTTCTCCATCTTCATCCTTCTTATCACAGTCATCCTCGTCATCTTTTTTGCCAAATCGGGCCCTCAATACGCGGCTGATGGAGCTCACTAATGGCAAATAAAAAAGTAAATGGGTGATTAGCCCTTAAAAC